AACCTTAAACCCTAAACACCAAAACTCAAGGATGGGGGAAGCTTCCCTCCATCCATAGCATAATCACCGAAGTTTTGGGCGCGCAATCAGCAGGCGGGCCTTAAAAGGGGATTCAGGGCGCAGTGAGGATCTTAGAGGTTAGTTTTGTATCCTCAAAAGCACATTTGTGGATTCCACGAATCGGGGAAGTCCAACACAGGCCCAAACATAAAATACTTGTTATGACCCCAAAAACAACCTCTAAGTCTTGGAGCCCCCCAAAATCCCAGAACCTCTATTCGACAAGCAGCCTCACCAGTGTGAGGGCAAACCGGCATGCAGAGCTCTCCCCACGTTCTCAGGAGAACCTCCAGCGTCCAAAGAAGGATCGAGGGATTAAGCTACCAGGGGTCATATAGGGATATATAAGNNGTATATGGGGATTCTATTATAATATACCCAGAGCCATATTAAGAGGGACTATATGTAGAGGCCCTCCCATGTAACTGTTGTTGTTCTGACGAAAATCACTACCTTTGTTCTACAGCACGACTGGTGGTGTTCATGAACACGTACCCTAAATCCTGAACCCACAACACTAAACCCTAGACCCCTAACCCTAAACCCCGAACCCTGAACCCTAAACCACTAAACCCCTAGGCAACAGAAGCCACGAATCTTGAAAGGTTTAAGGGGTCCTTGATAGCAGGTGCTTAGGCAAGACCGCACCCTAAACCCTAACCTCAAACCCTACTCCCTAACTCCTAAACCTTAAACCCTAAACCCTCAACCTTAAACCCTAAACCCTAAACCGCATTTTAGTGTATAGAGCTTAGGTATGAAAATTTTACGCTTCACATCCTTGGCATGCTCCGTGGCCAGACATGGAGATTTGAAGAAGAACCAACGATATGAGCCATAGTCCACCAAAGGCTCCACTCGCCGCACCTCTGGGCTTGGTCGACGTTCCAAGCCGCAGGTTGGGGGGCGCAAAGTAGCCAGCTCTCGGAAGGGCTGGCCTCAGTCGAGAAGGAGTGCTCCGTCCTCAAGGGGCGGTTCCTCCCCCAAAGGCTCCACTCGCGGCACCGCCGGGCTTGGTCGGCGTTCCAAGCTGGTAGGGTTTGAGGGTTTAGGGTCCTTGTATCATTCCTTAAAACCTCCTGTGCTACTCCCCTGCAGAATCCACTACATAAACACCCTTTTAAGGAGTTTAGAGTCTAAACCCTAAACCCTATTTATCCCTATAGTACCATATATAATCCACTGCATAACCCTCCTTGAATCAATTTAGACTATAGCCCATATAAATGTTTAAGGGTCTACGGTCATCCTCCATCTGACTTAAGAGGCTTCAACCTGCGTCGACACCTCGAGTAGTGCTTTGGACGGACCAATATTCCTCGAGTCAGGGTTTAGGGTTAGTTTAGGGTTAGGGAATATTCCCTTGTGCTTACCTTTGGTTAACTGGGAATGAAGGAATGGAAAAAACATGGAAACGGCAATAAAGGGTTAGAAAGGACTACAATAAGGAACCAATTCCTTCATTCGTAACTAATCAATGGTAAGTGTTCTGGTCATCCTTATTACTCTCAGGTCGAAACTGACAAGGACCCTAAACCCTGAACCCCCAAACCGAAAACCCGTAGACTGAAACATCAAAACTTAGATTGCGAATTTGAAGTCTTAACCTCACAAGGGGTACAGGGTGCCAAGGCAGTAGTAGCAAGGATCCTACAACGCAGTTTAAGGGTTTATGGTTTAGCGTCGTAAACCCTAAACTCTAAACCTTAAACTTGGAACCCCAAAACCCCTCATCCGACAGCAGGGTGCCTGTCCGCTGCCATCTTCAAACTCACCTCGGGTTATAATATTGGGATAATGGAAAAGAAAATAGAAACTACCACATTGGGGGTTATATAGGGCTCGGGGTTTAGGGTTGAGGGTTGTGGTTATATTGGGATAATGGTAAAGTAAATCGAAAATATAGGGATTACAGGGGTTATAGGGTCATGGGGTTTATAGGGTTTGCTGAGGGGACTCAACAGGGTCTAGTGTTTGCAGTTCAGGTCTAGTGTTTTAGCTTTAGGGTGTACCCTAAACCCTGAGCCGGAAACTCTTACAGTCCTCTTATGAGCCGTAGTCTAAACTCCTAGTATCCCCCTTAATAAGCCGTATACTACTCCCCTAAACAATCCCCTACATAACCCCCCTTTAAGGAGTTTAGACCCTAAACCCCCTTAACCTTAATCCCTAAACCCTATATACTCGCCTATAGAACCTCCCTGTAGACTATAGTTCTTATGAGCCCGTTGTGTCCAGGCGATCCTAGAGTCGCGTGATTTTGAGAACCCCCCCAAACCCTAAACTAGTATATTGGTGTTATATTGGGATAATGGGGTTCTATTCGGACTATATATTTTGTATTAGGGGATATACTACAGCGGTTATATAGGGATAATGGAAACTAAAATGGAAACTACTACATTGGGGGTTATATAGGGTTCAGAGTTTAGGGTTGAGGGTCGGGGTTATATAGGGATAATGGAAAATAAATGGAAACTACCATTATGGGGCACCCTATAACCCTAAACCCTGCGTGTGGCGAGTACGCGGGATTCTCGGGAAACACTTCCAGAGACTTCTTGGGGCTGGGCCTATAACACTGTTTCCTAAGTTGAGGATATATAGGCACCTCACTAAGGGACCCGTGTTATGCTGTATTTAAGGAAATCCTTGTATTCAGCTAGAGTCAAAATTTCCCCAGCAAATTAATGGACATGGGTTCCCTATTGGGCAATATTTTAGCGACTATACTAAACTGCAAGAGGGACCCCATCTCCGCTGTTAAGGGCCCCTTAATAGGGCTAAGCCTGAACCCTAAACCCTAATATTGACAGCAGATCCTAGCCTTGTTTTGAGAAAGCTTCGGATTAGATTTCAGGGGCTTAGTTTAGCAATCGGAGCTGGGGTCTAGGGTTTAGGGTTTAGCCTTCTGTAGCCTTGCATCCGATGCTTTAAAAGGAGGCTTACAAGAAGGAGCTTGTCAAGGTGGCCCTCTGACCCTTATCATGTACCCACCCTAATCCCTATGCCAGAAACCCTGAACCCCAGACCCTGGACCCTGAACCCTATCACAACCTCCTCATGGCTGGAAATAAAGCGTTTGATTGACACAACCCTGCATCATACTCAAGGTTACACAAACTTCACGGATTTTGTCCCTCAACAGTCCCAAGGTCCTTGGTGGGAGGGCGAGACTATATGTAATTGCTTGAAACCCGCCAAACCTGAGTACCTTTACCCTCCTGTGTAGTTGCTCTTTGGCTTCCTTCCAGGTTATTTATTCATCAGGATGTTTGCCAGGACCGCCAAGGCGGTAGTACATGGAAAGGCGTAGGCAAGGTAAATCACCAACTCAATGCGAGTTTGGGGTTTAAGGTCTGGTAGAGCTTGACCCTAAACCCTTAATATCCTCTTGCAAGCAGGAACTCCTCTTGGAACAATTTCGGGATCTTTACCTAGGGTTTAGGTTTTAGGGTTTAGGGTAGATACACCACAAAAGGCCATAGGTTGACTAGGGTAAATGTTTAATAAAGAGGTGACCCAACATGAGGGAGTGTATAGCTGAGATGGCCAAAACCCGGTCCATGCCCAAGCTAGGCATGCCACCTTCGCAAAGGGCCTGCAAACACAGTTCTACAGGGGGCTTACATAGCGTTCCATCTTTTTGTGGGAAGAAATAGACCCGAAACTCCAAATCCTACTTCTTGCTAGGCGGAGGGTCCCACCCCTAGTTACAATCTTCAAGAACAAAATCTACAAAATCCAAAACACCCCATGCCGAAGCGCAGTCCTACTTTTACGCTGCTGGATCCTTTACAAGATGTCCAGTACGGAAGTCCATACTCATTCGAGCTGTAGTCTGAGTCTGAACTCCTAGTATCCCTCTTAATACTCCCGATAATTAAATGACCGGAGAACCCCACATGTGTAGTTTATCCTAGATGTAAAGATATCGTTAGGATAGCATCGCCAGGCGATATAGGAAGTATTTTTAAAAAGAATGCAAACTCTTGAGACCACATGCCGCGGCGAAGCGACGAGCACATTGCGCGAGCGCGA